AGCGCCTCGGATTGAGGAATCGGAGAGCAGAGTTCGAATTTCACTCGAATCCATTACAGTCACTTACGTGATAATACTCTTGAGAAATCCTCCTCTTCTTCTCCCTCCAGCTATGGGTAAATAGCAAGAGTGACCGGGTTCTATAGCCTTGGATGGCAACTGGTCTACCGCAGAAAGAAATAGCAACTTACTGCGGGAATCTGCCTCGTCAGTCATGTATCGCCTTAGCGTGTATCACGCATGGCCCATAACTGGTGTGCCACATGGAGCAAGACGGGTTTATTGACCAGAACCAATCTATATTAACCAGAATACCACCCTATCTTAATGCAGGCCGTGATAGTTGTTGTTATAAACTTGTAAGGACATTATTATTAATAATTAATAAGAAACAAAATAATATCATGAATAAAAAATAACATTAAAACATTGTTTAAAAGAAATTAAATACATCAAAATAATAAAAATTCTGCCAGAATGTAATAGAATCTTTTTCTGCTTGAAAACCTCTGAACGGATTCTCTTCGCTATCGACCGGGAGGGTCAAGATATCCACTTCCTCCCCTCTGGACATCGCTTGTTATAATACAAGTGACTTCTTTTTATCACATGCAGCCTTAAACACGTGTACCTAAAATACAGATGTGCACACACCAGTACACAAACAAAACTGTATGATTTAATTTACATTTTAACGTGCTTTTTACTGTTGCTTCAGTGTATGTTTTAATCCCTGTGAACCCGAAGCTATTCCTGCTGGTATGATGTGAGTGAGCCAACATATTCATTATGTTCCACGCCAGGGCCATATAGGGTTTTCATTTCAGAGATGTTATCCAACTATACTGGGTATCAAGAGGGCACCTCGACGTGGTGTAATGGTTAGCAAGCTTGTCTCGTTAGATCAATTACAACTGAATAGTGAGTTCGATCCTCACTGGATGCCTCATACTTTCGGCCTTGTGCTACATCTAAACCGGGTTTAGAAAAATCAATATACTGGGTATCAGTCTGCCTTGTTATTTAACCGGAGCTGAGTGGGTAAAGAGATTGATTCCTTTGAATAATAAAAGTGAAATTGCTAGATTTATATATATATATAATTATTTACCCGCTGCCCCACGTAGCAAGATGTGGCACAAGGCCGAATTTAAACTGGGGTATCCGAGCCCGTAGACTCGGGCAAAAATTCCCTATAGACCACGTAAAAACGGAATCAGTTTTCCGCGACGACTCTCTGCCCTTCGGCAGAGCTTCGTCTGGGAGATACCCTTTAACATAAGCCAGGTGTGTATATATATATATGTATTATAATATTTTTTTGTTTAAAAATATGATTCCTTCGCTACATAAGAGTTCTCATGCTTCAAAAACGAGAGCCGAAACCATCCAAATAATTATTAAAATTAAGTTGAATTAAGGTGTTTAGTCCCGTTTCATCTTCAAGCGAAATTTTAGGAGTTATTTGGATGGTTTCGGCTCTTGTTGAGAGAACTCTTATCTAGCGAAGGAATCATATTTTTAAACAAAAAATATTATAATATAAGCTCTACTTCTGTATGGAGCACTGTCTTCTTAAAAATAAAAACAAAAATACTAAGGAACTCCGGATTATGCACCCAACGTGTTCTTTTCTATTTTCTGCATACCTGCGCTTATATATATATATATATATATATATATATATATATATCCCAGTTCACAACCGATTGGAGGTCCTTTCGAGACGCACGGCCAGGTTAGTTTTGTCAGTGACACTAGATTTTTTTCTGAGGCAAGAATAAATTGTGGTGTCATCCGCGTAGATGCCAACCTAGGAATTTATGGCGTCAGGAAGGTCATTTATGTAGATAAGGAATAGAGTGGGGCCTAGGATGGAGCCTTGAGGAACACCTGCGTTCGTGGGATAGGAACTGGAGGAGAATCCGTTGAGAACGACCTTCAATTCACGGTTTGACAGGAATAATTGTATTAGGTCAAACAATCGACCCGTAATGCCATAACCCTGGAGCTTGCGAAGAAGGCCGGTATGCCAAACGCTATCAAATGCTTTGGAGATGTCTAGGCTCACGGCACGAGCTTCCCCGTTATTTTGAAGAGTTCGGTAGACAGTTTCAGTGATGGCCGTAAGCACATCAGCTGTAGATCGGGCGTAGCGGAAGCGGATGACACGACAATTTATTCCTGCCTCAAAAACAAATCTAGTGTCACTGACAAAACTAACCTGGCTGTACGTCTCGAAAAGGACCTCCAGTCGGTTGTGAACTGGGGCAGGAATTGGCTGGTCAACTTTAATGCTTCAAAAACAAAACTGCTCTCTATTAATCACCACAGAGATTCTACCCTGCTCTCCATTAGAATGTCTGACGCTCAACTTCTCGAGAGAAACTCTCTGCGGCTGCTCGGTCTCACGTTGACGGCTGACCTGAGATGGAACAAATACATTGAGTCAATTGCTTCGTCCACCGCAAGGAAAGTTGGCTCCCTGTGCCGGGCCAGGAAATTTTTCTCCCCGGAATCGATCCTCCAGATCTACAAATCAACAATTCACCCTTGCATGGAGTATTGCTGCCATATATGGTCTGGAACCCCTTCTGTTTGCCTCGGGTTTCTTGATAGGCTCCATAGGCGGATATGCAATATAATTGGCCCTGCTCTGGCATCTCGTCTACAGTCACTTTCTCACAGACGCGCCGTCGCCTCTCTATGTCTGTTTTACAAATACTTTCATGGCAATTGCTCCGAGGAGCTGCATTCGCTGGTTCCCAGACGTCATGAGTTCAAGAACCCTACGAGGCTGGCATCCCGCTCTCACCCTTTCACTGTCGAAACTCCTAAATGTAGCCGTCTCTTCTACTCCAATTGCTTCATGTCTCGCACCTCTCGCCGATGGAACTCCCTTCTCTATTCCAGTTTACCTGAGAGCTATAATCTCCAGCTATTCAAATGTAATGTCAATCGACATCTCCAGTTGCCTAGATCTATCCACTACCCTTCTCCTCATCCTTTCTTCTATCAATTCTATCTGATCTTGCTCGAAATTTTCTGTAACCCCTTGCGTTTTAGTGGCTTCCCGCCTTGCTTGGGGTGAAACGCTATATATATATATATATATATATATATATATATATATATTGATTGATTGTTTCGGTGAAATATTTTGGAAAAGTCTAAGAAAATACATCCTATCAGTCTACATAAGGGCGATTCCATTAGTAATCCAATTTTTTGTTTATAAAGAATTATCCGAATATTCTTAAATGAAACGCTAAACTTAATGCAATTAGAATCTGGATACGAAAGCGTTAGCACAAACATGATTATCACTAAGTTCTTGGCAATCTTTGAAATTTAATATTCTACGTAATGTTTCTCTCGTGTTTTTATTTTCTATGGGATTACAGATAAAGTCTACTTTGCAACTGTTTCCCCTTTAATCTCTTAAAATATGTCAACGATCTTCTTTTATCAGTGTTGGTCGAAACGCTGTCAACTTAAAAGGGATTATACTGTAGCGAATTAGGTGCTACAGAATTCTAATGGACGAGGTTGCTGTTGGTCACCAAGCAAAAGGAGTGACGACTTGTTGTTGATGAGGATGACGGCATTTAGAAAAAATAAATTCAAAATTTTCAAAAGAAATGAATTTCAACGCGTGAAGGTATTTTACACATATATTTACTTAACGAACAACGGGGCTGTCAAAGATCAAAGGAAATTAAATTTACGTGCCTACATAACTCAACAGAAAAGGAAAGAAAAATGTAACTGATTATCTCTTTCTCCCCCCTCTCTCTCTCTCTATATATATATATATATATATATATATATATATATATATATCCCCCTCTCTCTCTCTGTGCGTGTATGTGTGATAAACTATGTGGCTGGGTAAAATTAAGAAGTCGGCCTTCCCGGGGAAGAAACTCTATCGGCGGAAAGTTCATATGTTGACTCTGCTAGAGTGAGTTTATGTCCTTCCTTTTATAGTCGTGGCTAGAACGACACCTAGCGGGCTTACTCGAAGACAAGGGGATGCAATCCCCATAATACAATTTGTTAATATTGACAGTTAATTTCAGCCCGTTTCCACCTTTACAAGCTATAAATATATTTATTTGAACACGAAAGTCGCGAGCGAGAACCATCCCTCGACCTACAAGCTCACTATACTTGTTTGAGAGACGAATCTTATAAAAATTGCTATTTACAGTAGAGGACCGACAACTATGGTCTGGCGACGAAATTCATTCCCACGGTGCTATGGATTCTATTCTAATATTCTGAAATTGCAATTGATATTTTTTTCCGTTATAGTAATTTTAATACTAGAATTCCCCAAATAAAATGATTGAAAGTCTCTCAAGATGGAGGTTTACTGATTTTGGATTGTTGAGATTTATTGTAAATTAATACAATTATGGCACAAGGCCGAAAAGGGGGAATGGGTTGAGGCTGGTCTTCACTAACTATTTTATACCTAGCTAATCGAATTCACGACCCATCCACTCGTTACAATTTCCTCATTTACCATAAAAACTCATCCATCGTCAATCAATCCTCCATACACCATAATTCCACATCCTCTCAGGTTGGGGAGTTAACCCCCACCCCAAAAAAAACAATAAAAATCATCCCAATGAGATGATAAATATTATTTACAATTCTTATATGCAAATCGGATGAATGATCTGATTTTGGATTATTTAATATGAATGAATTAAGAAATGGTAGAGATGTGAATACTGTAAGGACATGGAAGATAGATAAAGATTGACCCTTGAAGACATTGATTCTATAATAATTCACATTTTGATGTTTTGTTGTGTTTTTTCGCAACTTATTCAACCTGTCAGATTTCAGTAGGGAGTAAATAAAGATAATAGGCCTTTAGATTTCTATAGCATTTTTAAATGATTTCTGAGCTGACAGAAGGTAAGAATAGAATCTCTCGAATAACAGAGAGAAATGTTGTGACTTACCAAGGATGAGACAACTACTTAGCCACGGAAAATAATGGATTTTAAACAATAAGTGGATGGATAGAAGAGGAAGTAAAAGAAGAAGAAGAAGAAGAAGAAGAAGAAGAAGAAGAAGAAGAAGAAGATGCCGACGACGACGAAGGAGAAGAATGAAAGAAAAGAGAGAAGGGGAGGGGAAAAAGAAGAAAGAATGAAGAAGGTGGCTGATGAAAACAGAAAATGGATAACGGAGACAGAAATAGAAAGGAAGGAAGGAAGGAAGGAAGGAAGGAAGGAAGGAAGGAAGGAAGGAGAATGGCGAAAGAAAAAGCAAAATCTGGCAAGGGAAAGAGAAAATGAAAGAATAAAGATGGGGTGAGGAAGAAAACAGAAAATGGAGGAAGAAAGAGATTCAAAATTTGGGAAAGAAATAAACGAAGGAAGGAAGGAAGGAAGGAAGGAAGGAGAATAGCGAAAGAAAAAGCAAAAGCTGGAAAGGGAAACTGGAAAGAAGAGGAAATAATGAATAGAGTGTGAGGAAGAAAACAGAAAAAATGGAGAAAGAAAGAGATTCACAATTTGGGAAAGAAATAAACAAAGGAAGGAAAGAAGGAAGGAAAGAAGTTAAAAAGAAGGAGAAAAGAAGAATGGTGAAAGAAAAGGTAGAAGCAGGAAAGGAGAACGGAAAGAAGGGGAAAGACTGAATAAAGATGGAGAAGAAAAGAGAAAACGAGGTAAGACAAATATTCAGAATCTGGGAAGAAATAAAGAAAGGAAGAAAGGAAGGATGGAGAAAAGGAAGAAGAAAAGAAGTATGCTTTAAAAAAGCAGAAGCAGGAGATGGGAGCGGAAAGAAAGCGAAATAATGATAATAATGGGCAAAAAAAGAAATAACGAGAAATGACGAAGATTGAAAATGAAATAAATAAATAAAGGAAATGAAGGAAAAAATAAGAATGGTGAAAGGAAAGGCAAAAGCGGAAAAAAGGAATGAAAAGAAAGGAAAAAGAATGAATATGGTTGGAGAAGAAAAGAGAAAACGAGGAAAGATGAAAGTTCAAAACCAGGGAAAGAGATAAAAGAAGGAGTGAATGAAGGAAGGAAAAAAGCAGAATGATGAAAGACAGAAGCAGGAATGGGTTATGGAAAAAAAATAGAGGAAAAAATGCGTAAGGTGGGAGAATTAAACAAAAAATGGAGTTAAAATCGGGGGGGGGAATTAGAAAGGTGAAGACAAAGAAAATAATAAGTAGAGTCGAAAGAAGAAGATGAAAAGAATGAAAGAAACTGAAAGAGGATTAAAGAAAAGCGAAAACTAAACAGAAACGAACTGAGACGGAAAAAAAAATAAATAGGAATAAAGCGAAAAGAATGAATATAATCAGCAGCATTGTCCTTTTAGTCTTTTCTTCCTTATTTCCATCTCTATCGTTACTCAAAACTTCCAGAATCATCACAGCTGCCGGAAATTGTATGTATATTATTTACCCATTGTCCCAAGAGTTTTAACATGGGGCATCCGAGTCCATAGGCGCTGTTAAAAATTCCCTATCGACCTCGTAAAAAACGGAATCAGTCTCCCGAGACGATTCTCAGCCCTTCGACATAGCCTCATTTGGGGGATACCCTTTGACATGTGCCAGGTAAGGAAATTGTATGGGTATGACCATTGGAACATCATTTATGCATAACCATCTGCCATTCCTTTGTGATCAAAGTTTTTCTCATCAGAGAAAAACCAAAGCATCCAAAGTTCTTGATGCTTCAATTTACTCAACAAACGTTTTGTGTCGATCGTACGGTTATCTTTTGTCTTTGCATCACATATGTATCTAATGTTATTGTACACAATTCTTCCAATAGAATGCCTTGAAACAATAAAGTCTAGGGACATTCTGGGGTTCTTATCGATAATTTTCCGCACTTTCCGTACACATTTGGGTGTTCTGATGGCATTTGGACTCGTAGCAGGCGTTTGACTACCGCTGTAGAATCCCCAATAGACTCACGGGTTTATGACTTCATATCTGTGTTGGCGGCAGATCTATGTTTTTAATGGCTGGTGGGAAATAAAGACTATTCTTTACCAGTGATGAAACTTGTTTGAAATTTTTCGTTTGTTTTCGTCATCACTGCAAAAGCTTTCCTTTTTTGTGCGTGAAAGGACTTTTTTTTATTATATTTAATCAAATCGTGTCAAGCTAGATTTACACGCTTTCAAATATTTACCCCTCACAAGGTGTGTACTCACTGTCCTCGTATTACACTGTTCGTTATTGCTATTACAGTCATTAGCTGTTTTACCTAACTTGTTTCTGTCTTGTAAGTTGCGCGCGTCCGCTTGTTCGTTGTCTCCAAATAAAAATGGCCACTGTCAGGAGAAAATTTGTAGAAGCCAGACAAATCATTTTCTGTAAATACTAGAATGATCAGTGAAAACTTTTGATTTTCTGATAAATCTTAATTCTTCAGTTTATGATTAAATAATCACATGGGGCTTGTTGCGTGCCGCTAATATGATTGTTTTAAGTAGTAACAATTATGTTACGGAAATCAACACTTTAGAGTGTAAATATTTACGGGCTCCTAGAAAAAGTATCCCACAAACGATATTGGCGGATTCAGTGTGAGATCGAGGAAAAATATTTAACATTATATAAAATAAATGACAACCAATTTAATGAATTGACAAAAGGGAAATACAATTACAATAAAGGAAGAAAACATTTAAAGACTAGTTTCATAGAAGAAATTTAAACCAGAGAATGTGTTTTGTTGTGTGTGAAATTTGCGTAGACCTACGTGATAGACAAGTGTGTGAAAGTGCTCAAAATTCAAGAGAGAAAAGTCATTGAAAATGAACGTACGTCAGTGGGGGACTCTTTTTCCCACGCGCATGTTCATCTTATGACCAGAAACTGTAAAAGAGAGTAGAAAATAGGGAGAAAAATTTTTTACAACCTTGAAAAGCGTACCCTAGAGGCAAGTTTTTAGTAAAGTTAAGTGGGATAACCCACACTTTAAACACTTCTATCTTCTCTTTATTTCTTTCATTCGTATACTTCTTTTCTTCTCGGCGGTCAAAACGAAAGTCTATTATTTATGTGCTATTGGCAGTAGACGTTAAACACTTCAATCTATTCTTTTCTTTCTTTCGATCAAGCCAAATCCTCGTCTTACGTACATTTCTCTTTATAATTATATTGTAAAACCATTCAACCGACGATGTTATTTTATTAATGGAAACTTTTTTTTTTAATTTTTTACCTTACTCGGTTTCCTTCGTTTGATTCAGTGTCTCTGAAAAATGCTTTTATTATTATTATTATTATTATTGCGGTAGTGCTCACATCTCGGCCTTTTAGCTGAGATCAAAGTGTAGTATTTGTTTCGGCAATTTGTGCCCGTTCTCGTGCAAGCAGGGAATGGGCAAAAATTGACCAATATTTTAACCAGTTACCCAAGTGTAAGCGCTCGGGTACCCCGCATTAAATAAATGACATTCTGTTGCATCATGACTCGGTGGGGAATTTGGTTAATACCAGTATCTGTTCCCATCAGCTGAATCTGATTCTCTTTCCATTTTTATCCCCTTTCTTTCTTTCTATCTTTCTTTCTTTCTTTCTATCTTTCCTTCTTTCCTTCTTTCTTTCTTTCTTTCCTTATTTCTTTCTTTCCTTCTTTCCTTCTTTCTTTCTTTCTTTCTTTCATGTTCCCAGTGAAACCAAGTAATGACTTTTCCCCTCTTCCCACGCGAACGAAACGCACAATAGTGCATTATTTATGAGTCACTGACAAGACAAAACGGTCGTGCTAAGAAAGGAAATGTCAAGTAGTGTTATAAATAGGATGCTAGCAGCATATTTTAAAATTTGGAAATTTTTTGTGAGAAAAATCAGTCGGATTTGATATCCATTATCCCGCACACCTTGCAAAATGTGAACTTTATAGATGCCTCATTCTATATTTTGTATTCAATATTTTCATAAAATTAATAATATTTAGATCGATTATCCATCTGTAAACATTTTTTTTTGCTTTTCGTTTGTACTTTACTTTTAAATGTGAATTATTCTAAGATTTATATAAATGTCTTCGAAAATAATGCTTCTGAAGCAAAAAGAAAAAAGAAAAGAAAAAGCAAGCTACATTGAATTATTATGATTATTTTTAAAATGAATAGCCGTAATGATTTTAGGCAACTGGCAAGCGTTATAACAGAGAAGGGAAAGATCGACACGGCAATCCGAAGGTGCACTGGGATAACGATAGAAAGATGTCTTCTAAAAACTAAGCAATGTATTAAGAAACAGAAAAAAATCGTTTGAAACAAAGAAATTAGTACTGAATTGTTATGTAATACCAATCCCCCTATATAGCAGTGATTGCTTGACTATCTTCTCACGGGGGATTTCCTTCCGGATCCTTCCGAGAGGATTAGCAGAGGATTAGAATAGTTCCCCCCACCCACCACCGTCGGAGTAGATCCTGCTATCGTAGTATCTGTTCCATGCTGGAGGTCTTCTCTTCCTCCCCTTGCATCCCCTCTACCGTTGCGCGACATCTATTACGTTGCGGTGGTATGACTGGCTATGACCAGCTTAGACAAGCTAGGAACAGCTTAGATCGGGTCGCCACATTAAAAACCGACCTTGTCTCATAACCTGGCTCAGGGGCGGGTCAAGTAAATTTATCTTCTCACATATAAAACCGAGACTTAATGCAAAAGAAACGTGATTCTACAGAAAGATCCTAAGAATAAAGTTTTAACATTATGACGAAAATGTGACGAAAATATGACAAAAATGTGACGAAAATATGACGAAAATATGACGAAAATGTGACGAAAATATGACGAAAATGTGACGAAAATATGACGAAAATGTGACGAAAATAGGACGAAAATGTGACAGAAATGTGATGAAAATATGATGAAAATATGACGAAAATATGAAGAAAATGTGACGAAAATAGGACGAAAATGTGACGAAAATATGACGAAAATGTGACGAAAATATAACGAAAATATGATGAAAATG